ATTTCCACTTGATTGCAGAACACATAAAATGTAACCACTCTTTCTCCTGTCACTCGCTTGTTCCTCCTCTTTAGGTTGGAGTGCCAGGACCTCAGCCCATGGATCTTTTCGCTTTATATTTGTTTCCTGGTGATCATGTTTAATCTCTGGCATGTAAGTACTATTTACATGCCAATACATGCCAAAGACTTCCATCATTATATATCTGACTCCAATTCTTCTCCTATACATTGTCTTTAACTTATATCTAAATTAGTTGATATCCCCACCTGAATGGAATTCAATTCATTTAAATTTTGCAAGATGAACATCTTTCCAACATGTTCCAACCACAACCTTCCCGATCTCAGATGACAGCTTCTCCATCTTTCAAAATATTAAGGCCAAAAATACTGAAACTGTACCTTCTTTATTCTAGCACACTCCATGTACATTTTACATGAAGACATCTAGCTAACATGGTCTAAAACAACATATCCATAATCAAGGCACTCCCTGATCACCCTTCTCTCCATAATCAATATCCTGGTTCATTATCTTTTACCTGGATTACAGCAATAGCTCAATAGTCTTTCATCTCTCTGCTAACGCATTATCATTTTAAAATCTCCTTTTCAATAAAGATGATACAGAAACCTCTTAAAATGTAAATAGTATTCTTTTATCCTCAAAATTTCTCATTGGTTACCAGTTCACTTAGTTTAAAGCCAAAGTTACTATTACAAAGTCCTGCAAAACTCAACATATTCTGACCATCACCTGCTCGTCTGATCTTTCTTAACATTCTTCTCCTAAGTCTGCTTTGCTACATTAGTCTCTTTGCTGCTTTTCAAACACCTATGGATGCTGAGTCCTGGCCTTTGTACTAGAATGCTCTTCTCCTATAACATTGTGGCTACCTCCCTAAGCTCCATAATGTCATTGTTCAAATGTCACTTTTGAAATGAGGCTTGCTCTAACTACTCTATTTAAAATTAATACCTACACTCATATTCTGCTGAACATACTCTGCTTCCTCTTTTATTTTATAGTACTTTATGCCACCTTCTATAATACATAATTTACTTATTTTATGTATATTATTTATATTTGCCTCCTGCAGCTATAAAAGAACTATTTCTTACATACTATAGGCTCTCATTTTATAAATAGAACTTGTAGAAATTTCAATATTAGATAATTCAAAATTAGTAAAATGCAATTTTCAATCTCAATAGCTTATTATATAACAAAAGAGAAAAAAGCAAGCAGACCATTGTAATTGAGAATGACAAATATTTCACTACATATTCAGAGAAGAAACATTTGGGGCCATGAGGTGAGGATAATCAGTCTCTTCCCCGAAAACAATGTCTGAACAGTGCATTTTAAGAATGATTAGAAGGTATCAGATTAATCAGATACGGAAAGTGAAAAGAAGGGTCATGAACTAGCAAAGCCTAGAACACAACATGTAAATTCAGTGTACTATAACCATATCCTAGCATGGAGATACAAATTCAGGAAGCTCATTTATCAAGATTTTAAGGATGCTGTTACAGAACTCTGAAGATTTAGTAGAGACATCACATGATTAGGTGGTTACTAAAGCTGAAGAGGTGAGAAAAATGGATTATGACGTACCTTGTAGGTAATGCTGAAGAAGATACATTTATTCTTTGAAAAGTGTGGGAGCCATATGTGTCTTTAGAGAGGGGTCTGATTATACTTTGGTTGTTGCATCTATCAACTTACCTGTTTCTCTCTCTCACTCTCTTTCTTTCTCTCTTTCTCTCTTTTGTCCATCTAACCATATATCTACATCCATGTACTTATCTAATTTGTAGTGTTCACAGAAATATAACACTGATGAGAGCTAAGCTAGAAATGGGAATACTAATTGCTAAGCTATTGCAAAATTACAAATGAACCAAGGTAATGATATAAAGCAGAAATACATTAAAAGATTGCTTTGGTTAAGTATTGCTAATTATGTATCAGCATCATATAAATTCAGAATTTACAGGGTCACAGAGTAGGACAAAAAACTGTAGTGTCTGAGTCTACAGCCATTTTTAAGTTAAGAATTTTACCCTTTGAAGACAATAATCTTTGGTGGCCAGATAGCTATCTTTGCAATAATAATGAATTTAAAAAAGAACTATGGCGCACAAAATTAGCTGAATTTGAAAATTAATTGAATATTAAACTAGACAAAATGGAAGAAAGTAGAAAGATGCCCCAAATTATTGGTGTTAACAGTTAGTCACTGATGTTTTAAATAAATGCAAAAATAAGTAAAGAAGTAGTTTTAAAGAGAGATGATGATGCATTTGAGGATTTGGGTAGCAATCAAAAGAAAATCTACAACAAAAATTTGTCAGACAATTTAAAAGCATTGGTGTATTTCAGAATAGCAAAATAGAAATAGAATTAATGAGCTCACAAAGGCTATAAATAAAAGCAAAAAATAAGATTGAACTAATAAAGCATTAAAAGTGGAAAAAGCAAGGTTATTTCGGAATTCTGAAATACAATTACTTAAATACAGAGGCAAAGGAGAAAATTATAACAACAAAAATTTCCCTGTTGTTGATAACCTAGTGTGTCATAAATACATTAACATTTCACGTTTCACAGATGGGGAAACTGAGCCTGGAATACGGCACGTAGCCTTCTCAGGTTCTAGAAAAAGGTTGATCTATGTTTTTCTTATTTGTATTGATAGCAGCAGGACAGTGGTATCTGGCTTTAAATTATTTTCTCATTTGTCGTATTTAAAATTGTGTCTTGAAAATAATGGTATGGCTGCCACTTAAGAAACTAAGTCATAGCTTAAGAATTAGGAAGAAGGAGCAAGAGGACATTATTAAGATGAGCCAAAAGACAACATATCCAGTGCAGCTAAGAAGTTTGGAAATATAAGCCAGAAAAGAAAAATGCCTCTTGGTATTGAGAAGCAAAAACAGAGTGGTCCTAGAACTGTTCCCAATTTATTTATTTTTTTTTAGTTTTCAATATTCTTGCCATTAAAATCCACTCTTCAGATCAAATTACTTTCTTCAAGTCTACAAATAGAATTTGGTCATGATGTATGGAAGTGAGAGAATTATCTCAGATTATCGTTTTTCAATATTTAACAGATGAAAATCCATGCCAGAAAAATTACAATGGTGTTATAACAAATAGAGAATTCAGGCAAAAATACCTGGGTTTTAGCTCTAGCTTTGCTATAATACTAATGAGGGGACTCAAGAAAGATGGTTTAATCTAATACTCAGTTTTCTTTTAGAACTCAGTTTAGTGTCCAACTGAGGCAGAAAACCAAGTTTTAACTCTCATAAACTGAAATTATTTCCTATTCCATCTACTCAGTTTTCATATCTTCCCGTGCATACCTATTATTTTAATTAGCATGTTGAAATAGAATTATCATTTGTTGTGCCTTTCTCAAGATTCTAAGTTTATTGCGGACAGGCCTAGGATTTGTTTGTGTTTATCTCTAGTGTGCAACACAGTATTTGGCATACACGGCACTCCCAAAAATGACAGCTGAAATGAAATCATCTGTAAATGGGTCACTGGGGTATGCTTACGTGATACGGTGATTTGAAAGATAAACCTAATTTATCTATGAAAGATGGTAAATAATTATTGCCAACACACTAATGTGTAACCCCATGATGTAACCCCATGATGTCTAAACTAATGCTCCAGGTCTTCAGAGAATTAACAACTTAGTATGAGAGATATAACCTGAAACTGTGCATTAATAATATAACAATAAGAAAGAATATCTAAAAGAACCACATATAATGTGGATATTTGGGGCATAAGAAATAGTGTGAGGAGAACAGGTAATTTCACTTGATTCTTACAAAGAATATATCACTAAAGAAATAAAAATTAGAAAATTTTGTGAGGACACCACAGTGAAGGATGCAGAATATTAAGACGTGAAACTCTTATTCTGCCCTACAGAAAAATGAAACAATAAGAAAACAGCCACAATTGCACAAAATGAATTAAGAAAGGAAAACTGGAGAGAAGCCAAATGCAATATAACAGTAACATTAAGCTGGCAGTTCTAAACTGTGTGTGTGTTTGTGTGTGTCTATTAGTTAAAAAGTGAATGTGAAATAAATGATAATTAAGCACAGATTAATAATTTTAAATAATCTGTTTTCATTTTTCAAAGCTTAATGTATTTGTCATAATTTCTGCAATAGTATCACAATACATGCCATGATGGCATAGATTTTTGGTTGAAAATTGAACAAATATAAAGCCACTAGATTATTCATTGCATCTAAACAATCATTTATTTTGTTAATAAGACATATTTCCACTTATCTATCATTAATATTTTTGGTAGTCAGTTACAATATTGTCCATATGTTTTTGGCTTTAATTTTTGTCACATACTAAGATGATTATAGATGTGTGTCTCATGTGAATATCATTGGGTAACTTTTAATGTGCAGAAAAAATACTTGGAATTCCAGTCTACATTTTCAAAGAAGTGAAAAGCTGAACCAAGAAAGTGGCTATAGAAAAGAAGAGGCAGAAATAAAAAGCACTGCAGATGTAGAAGAGAGAAAGCTAAATAATTGATTGAATATGAGGAAAAAGCAGTAAGGGAAACTCAAGATTGACTTAAAGGTTTTAAGCCTGAGTAACAGTGCTTCCATAGATAGAAAGAGACAATATAGAAAAAATTGATTTGGGGATAAAAATTATGAGTTTACTTTGGATGTGCTGAATTTGACAAAGCTTTAAATACATATAAATTAACTGCTCTTCATGTAGTTGATAATGTAGTTCAGGTATCAGAAATGTTTCTATGTGAGCACGAGATTTGTGAGCCAGAAGCTTAAAAGCCACAATACTAATTGGGACTTTTTAGTCAGTCAATGGAGAAGAAAATTTTTTACAAAAAAGGAGTAAATAACAGCTAATGACTGTAACTGAAGATAAAAAGAGGAAAGAGGCCGTGGCCCCGGAAGAACCTTGTCCTGGGCGGCTGTGGCACGGCAGTCGCCGTGATGGCCTAGGGGCTGGGCGGCTGACCGCCGGGCTAGGAGAGGGCCCAGCGCCCCGAAGCTCAGTGGCCGCTGCTCGAGCGCGGCCTGCGCCATGGCCACCTCCACCGCCTCCTTGGAGCATTTCGAGAAGCTGCACGAGATCTTCCGCAGCCTCCATGAAGACCCACAAGGGGTGCCCGAGCAGCTGCTGGGGACGGCGGGGACCGAAGAGAAGAAGAAGTTGATCAGGGATTTTGATGAAAAACAACAGGAAGCAAATGAAACGCTGGCGGAGATGGAGGAGGAGCTACGTTATGTACCCCTCTCTTTCTGTAACCCCATGATGTCTAAGCTTCGAAACTACCGGAAGGACCTTGCCAAACTCCATTGGGAGGTGAGAAGCACACCTTTGACAGCCATGCCTGGAGGCCGAGGAGATATGAAGTATGGCATATATGCTGTAGAAAATGAGCATATGAATCAGCTGCAGTCTCAAAGGGCAATGCTTCCAGAAGGCACTGAAAGCCTGAACCGGACCAACCAAAGTATTGAACGTTCTCATCGGATTGCCACAGAGACTGACCAGATTGGCTCAGAAATCATAGAAGAGCTGGGGCAACAACGAGACCAGTTAGAACGCACAAAGAATAGACTGGTAAACACAAGTGAAAACTTGAGCAGAAGTCGAAAGATTCTCCGTTCAATGACCAGAAAAGTGACAACCAACAAGCTGCTGCTTTACATCATCATCTTACTGGAGCTCGCCATCCTGGGAGGCCTGGTTTACTATAAATTCTTTCGCAGCCATTGAACTTCCTATAGGGAAGGGTTTGTGGACCAGACTTTGACCTTGTGATTACATGATGTTAGGGATGTCGATAGAATAAGCATATTGCTGCTGTGGGCTAACAGTTCAGGGATGCACTGTATAGCCAGACTGTGGGAGAGGGAAAGGAAAGATGGAAAGCCACTTAAATGTGAAGGAACAGCAACAAGACCAATATGATATACCAAGGTAATAAACGCTGTTTATGACTTCTTAAAAAAAAAAAAAAGAGGAAAGTAAGCATAAAGATATTAACCAGATGTGCAAAACAAGAAGAGTGTAATCTCAGTTAATGAAAGTGGAAAAGATTTAAAAGGAGAGGAATGTCAAGAAAATTAAATGATGTTCAGATTTCTGAAAGTAAGTCTTAAGATCATTGGGTTTGCTGAAAAAATTCATTGCTGACTTTTTTAGAAATACAATCAATAGAATCTTCAAGAAGTGGCCAGAAGCAGTGGCTCACACTGTAATCTCAGCACTTGGGGAGGTCGAGGCAGGTGGATCACTTAAGGCTAGTAGTTCAAGACCAGCATGGTCAAGATGGCAAAACCCCATCTCTATTGAAAATACAAAAATTAGCCAGGCATGGTGGCAGGCCTGTAATCGGCCACTCAAGAGGCTGAGGTGGGTTAATTGCTGGAACCGGGAGGCGGAAGTTGCAGTTAGCAGAGATCGTGCCACTACACTGCAGCCTGGGTGACATGGCAAGACTCCTTCTCAAAAAAAAAAAAAAATGAAAGAAAAAAAAATAGAATCATCAAGAAGAAAACATTCTCAAGACAAAATAATTGATTAGATATTGATTACATTGGGATTAACTGAGAATACAGATATAACTAATATTGTAAGAGTTAAATAAAGGATACTGATAATCTTACTAATGTAAGTTTAAATATCAAATGTTCCAAAACAGAAGAGTGGATACTCTGTCTCTTCCTCCCCCTTTCTTTCTCTCTTTCTATATATACATATATGTATGCAATTATATGTATACATATACATGCATACATATATGTATATATGCAAACCTAAGTGTGTATATATACATACATATCTGTGTATATATGTACATACATTATATACATACACATATACCTATGTGGTAAGGCATCACATAGTAACCTTCAATCAATGATGGACTGCATATACAAAGGGATCCAATAAAGTTATAATGCAGTGTTTTATATTATACTATATTACATCTTTTCTGTCCTCAGATACACAAATATTTACAATTTCTCTACAGTTGCTTATAGTATTCAGTACAATAATATCCTATACATGTTTGTAACCTAGAAGTATTGGCTATATCATATAGCTTCGGTATTATCATTGATGATACCTGATTAGAGAGATCATGAGCATGAACAGCAAACTTTTTATTTCATGGAAAACATAATAAAATTTTAGGCTTTGTGGGTGTCTGGGTTTTTTTGTTGTTGTTCTGTTGGTTTGGTTGGTTTTTAAGTTATTTAAAAATGTAAAAGCCATTCTAGCTTACAGGCTGTAGTTTGCCAACTCCTGATATGAATTATTAACTTGGAAAACAGCCGAGTAAAATAATTATGATATGTAATTCATAGTATAACACTGCTTTTAAAATGTGTATATGTGTTTGAATGTATGAATGTGTGTGTGTTCACTTTTTGCCTCAAAGATTAAAACCCTGTGTTGTGACAGTAGTGCGTTTATTGATGTTTGCACATTTTTTTTTTTTTGCTGTAACAACCAAACTCCTATATATGATTAACATACTTATAAACTGATTTACTCTTAAATTACTGAAATAGAGATGTTGGGTTTTTAGGAAAAACAAAAGTGATGTAATTTTTACAGAGTTTTTCCAAGGTAAGTTAAAATGTCAGTTTTTATTTTGGCTATACATATTACAAACGTCTACCCATTTCTTCTCTAATTTTCATATATTTTGCAATATATTAATATCCTTATGGAATCTCTTTAGTAAAAAATGTACAATATTGATTAGGTATGAAGGAAATAGAATCAACACATTATCATAGAATTTTTAAGAATTTTTTAATGGTTTCATTCTTCAGTCCCAGTTAAGATATGTAATCTCTTTATGTTTAGATTATTAATAATATACCTTGATCTATCAATCAAACTATGATGGTTCTTAAGTGATTAAGAGTCTGTTGCACTTTCTATATTTTAAGCCATTTCAAAAAACAAGTGAAACAAGAGATACTCTTAAATCCATCTTAGAAGAAAAAATATAATTATGGTGTTAGTGCTGCTATATAGACTATTTTCTGAAGATTTACATTTCTGATGCTCAAAATGTTCACTGATGTCTGAACCAATGAATCAGTAATGCCTACTGCTTTAGTCAGATGGCATCTCTAATTGCACATATAGATAATCAATAGAATAATTGAAAAAATGAGCACAGAAACTGTCATTAAGATCCAGGGAAATTGATAATTTAGAATTCTAGTATAAAGTCACGCCCTAAGTCACACTCACAATATGACAATGTAAATTTGGATAGTCAGTTAATTTCTGCATTTTAGAGATTGAAGCAGTATCACCTAACAGCTAAAAACCAGAATTCTAGCATCAGATATTTTTGAGTTTGCAGTTTGGCTCCAATATTTGCTATCTGACACTGTGGAAATTACTTAATATATCCAGGTCTAAATTTTATTACCTGTATAATGCTATATAATGAAATAAAGCTGTTATCTACCTGACTGGGTACTTCTGAGGATCAAATGAGAGTGCTTAAAAAAAAGAAGATAAAAATTTTGTATAGCCGCTGGGACATATTAAGCACTCCAAATTGATTTTATTATCTTTTACAAACCGAAAATTAAAGATAACAATAGATCTACTTACATCCAAGGATTCTTGTCAATATTAACACAAGAACAGTGAATGAAAAATTACCTTCAGAAAATTAGAATAGTAACCACTTAGCTTTGAAACACTGACCTTTTGTTTTCTATTCATTCTTTTTTCTTTAGATGTCTAACTGTTGTTTTAAAACTAGGATTATCTCCTCCATGGTAATTTTTATTATGCTCTGGTTGATTTTGTTTTTCCTCTGTGGTTTCAGATGTTAATTTCACTCTTTCTAGCTAGGTAAGGCCTGACATTTCTGGGAAAACTAAACCAAACTCCAATATTCTGTCTTCTAGTAATATTTCAAACATAAATTTATCATTTTTATCTCTTCAGATGTCTGCTTTTTTCTCTGTATTTTCAAAAACAATTATGTAATGCTTACCCATCTATTTTGATTTTACTGCTCTAAAATTTTCCATATGGCTTGTATTATGCCATCTTGACTGAAAACTCGCACTCTTAACCTCCATACCTAGTGTGCTTTCCTGTATATCCTATCTTACACATTTTCGGAAGACAATATACTATCACAGCTTTTACAGGTTGTATGAAAGAATCACATTTATATAAAATTAGCCCTTTATATCCACGGTTCTGCATCTGTAGAATTAACTAGCCATGGATTAAATTATTGAAATTATTGAAAAATAATTATTGAAATTATTTTTTTAAAATTAAATTAAAATTAAATTTAATGAAAGTAAATTTTAAAAAATATTGAAAAATAACAATCTGAAAATTAAAACCAATACAGTTTCAACATAATTTACACAGCATTTATATCATATTAGGCATTATGTGTCATCTAGAGATTATTTAAAGGATATGGTAGATATGCATAGGCTATAAGCAAATACAGTATTTTAAATAAGAGGCTTGAGCATCCACGAATTTTGGTATCCTTGGGAATCCTAGAACAAATCTGCTGAATATACTAAGGGATGATTCTACTTTCTTTGATTTTTCTAACAGTTTTTGTGTTTTTCTGAAAAGGTGTTTGTGAACATTAGTCCTTCCTTTTTCACAGAATTCCTAAGCCTATACTCTCATCTTGGGAAAAAAATAAAAATCAGAAACAGTATTCATGTAGCCCACAAAAGTTTCTCTGCCTCTTGCCTCCAGGTAGAATACAAAACACATCCTCTTAGAAGACATAAAAATAAAAGTTACTGTAATATACATATATTTGTAATGTTGGCATTGATTATTTTGATTTAATTATGTTATTGTCATGTGTATTGACCGAAAAAAAAAAAAAAAAACCCTCTACCATCTTAGACACAATATGGGATAGGGTTCAGATCATTAAATTTTGATCCAATAAGTACTGACAATGAGGGAATTTCAGAAGACAATACTTGGTGACAATAGGCATTAGGAAATATACAGACTATCCAGTGTACAGCCAAGAAAAGACTTACTAGATGTCAGATGCATGTCAAGGCCTCCAATTATTATCTGGGTATGGGCAAAGAGTTTGAGTATTAGAACTTCTATACTAGGAAGAATCTGGAGATATTAAAGCAAGATCTCAGTTTTGTGGACCATATTAATATGGGTGAGTAAAAAGAAGAGGTAATGAGTGCTAACTCATTTGGAAAAAATGTAATTTTTAGGCAGAAAAGAATCCTGGGAGCTGTGGCTAGTTTTGGTTAGTGAGTTATTAGATGTGTTATTCTGGATAGCACATACCACCAGCTGCATACCTGAAATCAAACACGTGCAATGCAAATAAAAGAATGGCAGAATAACAGGTCTATATGCAATTTCTTGTTAATGTTACTTTTTAGTAAACAGTGTCATCCGACACACCTATTTTGGAATTTTAAAAATTGTCAAAATTCTGGCTTTGTCTCAATGCTTTCTCTTTTAACTTGTGTAATTTATTAGGTTCTCAGTGTTGTTTCATTATACACAAACCATAATAACACAATCTTACAGGTTTCTTTGAACACAAATATAATAATGAATATAATGTATCTAGAATAATGCTTGGTATAAAATATGTGATTTTCTTAAGGGTAACCAAGACTACCTTGCACATTTAAGAATCACTGTTAGGACTGGCATAACTCAGCATATAGTTATAATAGCTAAAATTTATATGGGGGAAAACCAGATGAAGGCTTCCAAGCATCCCCTCCCAATACAGCCACATAAGACATGATCAGTTCTTCCACCAACAAGTTGTGGCAACTTGTAAGAAGGGCTGTTTACCATGGAAGTTAATTA